GCAATGTGCGGAAGCAATGTGCGGAAGCAAGGTGGGGTGGGCGGACAGGGTCCATGTGGCTCGGTGCGGGACTGGCGCTTCGGTTCGGTCCAATTTGAATTGTTTAAAGTTGTATTTATTTCGGAAATTCATCATTTTTTTAAGGTAGGACCAAGGGCGAATGCGGGGGCGGAAATTGCAAATTGGGTTCCGAACCGAGATCTGAACCGAAGCCACGCGGCTCACCTCGGCCAATTACCCCGCAACCGGTCCTTCAAGGCACCTCCTCGTTGCCAGCCTTCAGCCTCGCGACAACTGCACAACTTCAACCTCATAGCTAGGCGGCACTGAGCCATGTCAATAGCATTTCTTGATTCCCATTGCCTTTGTGTAGTGAATCTGCGAAGTAAATCTGCGAGCAGGCGAACAGTCTTACTCCCTCTTGTCGCTGACCGACACCCAACGTCCCGTAACCTCACGAATCTTCTTTCCAAAGATGAAGAGGCCGATGGCCATCACGCCCGTCATGGCAGTGAGACCGGCGAACATGTTGAACGCCCCGTCGTATCCAAGAGCTTCGATCATGTCCCAGGCGCGGTAGCTGACGCCGAAGGCGAGGATGCCACGGAATGCGCAGATGATAACGAGCACCGAGCTCGCACGTTGCGGGTAAGCGTCGAGCAGGTATGTGATGGCCACGATGTTGGCGCCAACGAATACTAGATACTCGGCTGCGATTGCCCAGACGTAGACCATCCAGTGGTACTTGTCCGGATGAGTGGCCCCTTGACCATATAGAACAGCGGTGAAAATACCGATGATGAGTGGCACAGCGAGCGGAATCAGGCGTGTCTCGGGCTCGTGGATGCCTCCACGTCGGTTGGCGAACCACTTGATGATCCAGTCACTGCCGTAGCCAAAGAGGGGCAGCGCCACAAGCGAGGTGACGATCTGACCTGTGTTCGCATAGCTGATCGTCTTGCTCGGCCAGCTGTAAGGTGCGCTGCCGACGAGCCTGCCATAGGTCAGCCCAATGGTGATGTTGGCGCCCAGCGTGATACCGTTGATGAGCAGCGCCCAGAGAATGCCTGGAAGCAGCAACATGGTCCACGAATCGCGAAAGACGACCCACGCCTTGCCCCACTCGGGCTTGCCCACCCACAGACGCATGTTGGATCGCATAGTGCGTGGCTCGTAGTTGACGTAGTCGAGCTCAGGGCGCTCCGTGTGGATGCGAAAGCCATCGCGGCTGTCTTGCTGGGCTCCGTCGGCATTCTCCTGGTACGACGATTGGGGTCGGTAGTACTTGGTCTCCGGGAGGAAGAAGAACGAAGTGACAAAGCAGAAGCCGCCGAGGCAGCAACCGATTCCGTACCACCACTGCACGCCGATCGATTCGGCGATGGGGGAGGCAAACAGGATGAAGACCG